CGCCCCCTCCCAGAGGGGCCCCCCCAGCCCCCCGCTTCCTCCAGGGTGGTCGCGGAGCCCTGCTCATCTCCGGGATCAGGCAGGGTGGGGGGCGCGGGGGTCCGGGGGGACCCCGGAGTCTTGGGGGCCCCTGGGGTCGTGGGAGGGCGCGGCCCCCCTTGGCTTCGCACCTTGATCTTGAAGTTGAGGCCGAGGTTGAGGGAGAGGACGGGGGAGTCGCTGTGGGGCGTGGGAGGGCCCGGGGGAGTCCCGGTGGGGCTGCTGGGGGGCGGGGGGGCGGCGGAAGGGGGGGCGAGGCAGAGCAGGGCCAGCAGCAGGCGGGGGACGGCCCCCCCCGCCACGGGGGACCTCGGGGACATCGGGGCGGCGGGAGCGGCTGCGGAGAGGGGCGAGAGGGGTGTCACACCCCCACGGCATCCCAGAGAACCCCCAGCACCCCAGAGAGCCCCTCCCGGCACCCCCAGCCCCTCGGCATCCCGTAGGCCCCCGGGAGCACGCACAGCCCAGAGCCCTCTCCTGGCATCCCCAGCCCCACGAACACTCGGGGGGGAGGGTGGTGACAGGGGCACCTGGGGGTGACATGAGAACCCTGGGGCAAGGCAGGAGCAAGGCGAGGACGGGAGCACCTGGGGACAGGAGCACCTGCGGGGACAGGAGAAGCCCGGGGGGAAACGGGAGCACGCGAGGACGAGCTCTTGGCAGGGGAGGGGAGAGGAGCACCTGGTGGGGGAGGACAGGACCACCCCAAGGTGGTGACAAGTACCCCAAAGGGGAACAGGAGCACCCCGGGTTTGAGACAGGAGCACTCGGAGAGGACACAGGAGCACCTGGGGGACACAACAGTCCCCCAAAGAGGGGACAGAAGCATCTCAAGGGGGGACAGGACCACTCCCAGGTTGCTACAGAAGCACTTGGAAGGGGACGACAGGAGCACCTGGGGGAGAGACAGGAACACCTGGGGGGACAGGAGCATCTGGGGGTACACAGCAGTCCCCCAAGAACGGGACAGGAGCACCTGGGGGTACAGGAACCCAAGGGAACACGGGAGACCCCCAAGAGGGGACAGGAGCAGCCCGGGTCCCGCGGTGACACACGGGGACGGGGGGCACACGAGGCCGCCCCACCCTCCCCCACGGGTTGCTGCGGGGGCCTGCAGAGGTGTCCCCTCCCCCAGAGCCCCCCCGCCCGCGCCAGGTCTCTAATCGCGGTGACAGGGGCTGTCGCCGCGGGCTGACACCGCGCCCGTCAGGGCGGCGGCGGCGCGGGGACGACGGATGCGATGTGACACGCGGGACACGCGGGGACCCGCCACCCCCGCACAGGACACTCCCGCGCCCGACACCCGTCCGGACCTGTCACACCCCTGGATCTGCCACCCCCTCCAAAGACACTTTCCCGGACCTGCCACCCCCAGCACTCGTCACCTCCCGGAGGTGCCATCCCCCCCCACAGGACACTCCCGCACCCGACACCCCCGGAACCCGCTGCTCCCCGCGGCACCTGGCACCCCCCCCACCGGGAACCACCACTGAGGTGCCCACGACCCCCAGCGCCCCCCGTGGGTGTCACTCGCACGCGCCCCGCACACGCACGCCCGCCCCCCCCACACCTCAGTGTGCCCACGCGTGTGACAGGAACAGCGCGGGGGGGGGGAGTTGCAGCGGCCGGACACGGGCACAGCCCGGGGTGTGCACACCCTGCACGCACCTGCACACACCTGCACACACCCCCACCTGTGCACCCCCAGCCCTGCATCCCTCCTTGCACACCCACGCACACTCCTGACCGCACACGCCCCCCTGTGCACCCCCCACTGTGCACACCTCCCTTATCCGCCTCCCGACCCCGCACATCCCCCCACGTGCCCACGCCGGACACCCCGACCCCGCACTCCGGTGCTCTGCCAGCCGTGCACACCTGTGGGCACCCTCGCGTGGGCCCCCCAGCCGAGCACGCCCCCCCCACCCCCCCCG